GGCCATTCTATCTGGCCCGCGGGGCCCCTAAAAATTTTAAAAAATTAATATTTATCTGCCCCGGCTGCCTGTCATGAGGCCTTCAATGGCTTGCCAAAACTCAGTGAGTGGCCCTCTGCCCGAAATAATTGCCCACCCCTGCACTGTGTAGGCTTTGCAGCACTGCCAGGCTTTGCCAGCTTGGGACAGAGAGACCAGCACTGGGAATCAAAGCCAGGCCACCCACATAGTACTGCAGAAACCCTGAACCTAAGCTGACCAGGCCCTGAAAATCTAGGTCTGTGAATCAAAACAAGTCCCTACAGTAGCACAAAGCACTAACCACTGGATCCAGATTTTACTGATTTTACCTGCCTGTTTGAAACACAATAGGGGACAGGTCTGTTTTAGCTCAAAGAGGTGTACTTAAAGTATATAAATAAATAAAAACACTGTTCCCCCTCCAAATGAGATTTTGAAAAGCTGCTAATATTGCAACTGCCTGCTAAAATTACTGCTGTTTTGGGAGGAGAAAGAAACATCTTGCTGAGATTTTCTCCTCCTAATGCTGTCTCAGAGGCCTAAAGCTATAGGTCTCTGCATGATGCAGGCTTAGGAGCTGTTGGCTGAAGGAAAGCAAAAGGCTTTGGTGAGCCTGTGGAGATGAGAAAAGGGGGATGTAAAACAAGTTTCAACCAATGCAGGTGCCTTGCAAAAACTGTACTGGGCAAGCGCTTTCAAGGAGCCACACCAGAGGATGCCTTTGACCCCATCAATTGTTTAAACTCGTTAGGGGGGGGTGTTATTCAGGCTGTCTGTGAGGAGGCTCCCTCCCCCGCAATGGAGACCCGACCCCGCCTCGGGGAGCTGTGGGGAGAGGAGGCAGCAGGTGGAGACTACAAGGGGGAACAGGCCCTTCCTCCTCTCCCCTGCCCTGCAGGGCGCTGCTCAGAGACCCCCGGGAGCAGGCGCTCCTTCCTCCTCCCCGAGCCCACAAAAGCTCCCGAGACGCCCCGAGGGAAAGCGCCGGGGCCGGGCATAGCGGGCTCAGCGGACCTCCTTCCCGCCTGCCTGCCCTGAGTCAGGGCGCCCCTCGCAGCGCGGAGGGAGGAGAGCTGGGCCGCT